CAATAAAGCAAAATAGATAATCTCAAATAATGCATAATTGAACGGGGCATTACAATTTTATAGTCCCGAGGACCAGAAAGTAATCGTTAGCACGAATGCTAGGTTCTTGGAAGAAGACTATGTCTTAGATCATAAGCCCAGTAGTAGACATGTTCTTGAGGAGTTAAAGGGAGTGAGTACTTCAATACCGAGTGCGCTAGATGTTACACCACAAAGTACTGCAACACGTATCGCTGATGATACACCTGAGCAGGTAGTACCTCGCCGTAGTGGGAGGGTTGTCCGGCAACCCGAACGGTTCATGGGTCTGGGAGAGTCTTCTGAGGCCGTCCCGGACGTTCTTAAAACCGACCCATGGACATACAATGAGGCACTCCAAGATCGGGACGCAGAATCTTGGCAAAAGGCGATGAAGTCTGAATTAGAGTCAATGGACACTAATCAGGTCTAGGATCTTGTAGAGCCACCCAGTGGCGTTCGAGCCATTGGATGTAAGTGGGTCTATAAGAGAAAGAGAGGATCAGATGGGAAGGTTGAGACCTTCAAAGCTAGGCTTGTTGCAAAAGGGTACACTCAGAAAGAAGGGATCGACTATGAGGAAACCTTTTCCCCGGTAGCCATGCTCAAATCCATCAGGATTCTCTTGGCTGTGGCCGCTCATATGGATTATGAGATTTGGCAAATGGATGTTAAGACCGCTTTCCTTAACGGGAATTTGGACGAGGACATCTATATGCAGCAACCAGAAGGATTCATTGCAAAGGGCCAAGAGCATCTGGTCTGCAAGCTGAAGAAGTCCATTTATGAGCTGCATCAAGCTTCGAGGTCTTGGAACATCCGTTTTGACGAGGTTGTCCAATCGTATGGATTTACCCAATGTCTGGATGAGCACTGTGTGTACAAGAAAAGTGATGGAAACGTGGTGGTGTTTTTAGTGTTGTACGTGGATGATATTCTTCTCATTGGAAACAGTGTGAAAATGTTGTCAGACGTAAAGGTATGGTTATCCAAGCAGTTTGATATGAAGGATTTGGGTGAAGTAGGACATGTTCTCGGAATCAAGGTTATTCGTGACCGAGAGAAGAGAGGGTTGTGCCTATCCCAATCCACATACATAGACACTGTCCTAAAGCGTTTCAACATGCAGGATTCCAAGAAAGGGGATTTGCCCTTTCGGCACGGAATACCTCTATCTAAGAGGATGTCCCCGAACACATCTCAGAAGATAGAGGACATGTAGGCAGTTCCTTATGCGTCGGCAGTAGGAAGCCTCATGTATGCAATGTTGTGCATGCGACCTGATATTTGTTA